TGTAATATTTGGCTTTATCTTCTCGAGCTGATCTTTGAAATTTTCTGTTCAGCTCTTGGACCTCCTCATTTCTTCCACTTGCTTTAGCATCTCTACACTGGAGAGCAAGTTTCAGAGTCTCTTCTGACATCCATTTTGACCTTTTCCTTCTTTCTTCTTAATGACTTTCTGCTCTCTTCACGTATGATATTCTTAATGTCATCCCACATCTCTTCTGGTCTTTGGTCTTTAGTGTTTAATGTATCAAATCTGTTCTTCAGATGATCTCTAAATTCAGGTGGGATATAGTCACGGTCATATTTTGGCTCTTGTGGACTTGTTTTCATTTTCTTCAGCTTTAGTCTGAATTTGCATATGAGTGATTGATGGTCTGGTCCACAGTCTGCATTGACCAACTGATTCTGTGGTGTTTGTGCCACTATTCTGTGATGACCCTGTCTCCTAGCAAGCAACTTTGTTACGTGCTTGCGCATTTAGTCCACTCGCCGACCATCCTCTGAGAGGCATAGCTCCGTCTGCCCTGCCTCTGCCACTCACGTTTATGAATGATTTCACTCCCTCCGGAAGGGTGTCACCTGCTTCTCGCTGTTCTATTTTCCGTCTTCCCGTCTCAGACTTCCCTTTGTGGTCTCCTGCTCTCTGAATTTCAGTTGTGCTTAGTGTCTACCAGTGACAAATTCACTTTTTGCCTGAAACGGCCCTTGTTTATCCTTATTTTTGACAAGGGTCTTATTGGGATAGTATTTCTGGTTGGTGATATTTAGGTTGTTGATGCTAGCTGTAGTTGGGAGGTCGTGGTCCCTGTGAGTTTGGGCCATGCCTCAGGCTGAGCCAGGCAGTGAAGGTTCCCCAGGACAGGGTGGGCTGAGAGAGTGGGAGCTGTGCAGACCGTGTAGTAAGGCCCAGAGACACATCCACATTTTGACACCTTTATTCGTCACTTTATGGACTGGACAGACGTTAACCACAGCAGACACACATGGGTGTTGGGACGCAGACACAAGCTGTCACTGAATGCTGTGAGCCAGGCAGGAGCACTGTGAACTGCAACCACAGACGTCAGTCAGCACATGTGCCTTGCTCCGCGGCCCAGCTTACGCCGGTGCTCCATCTTGAGTAACACGGTGCAAAAATAGATGGCATAGATATGTATATAAATCTGTCCCTTTTCCTGAAAACTTATACAGACTAAGTAGCACATGATCCCTTCAAGTGTCATTAAGTGGCGTGGGTTCCTTGGTTGGTTGGCTGATCTGTAAGGAGCCTAAGGAAGGTGAGGTTAGCCAAGCACCTGCTTGCACAGGTGGGGGCCGCCCCCACTCCCCAAGACTGCTGGGTCTAACGGTGTCCAGGTCGGGCTGAATCCAGTGTGTGAGACCCCAGACACAGACACCGCTCCGCTCAACCACTGTGTCAGCAGTGCTGGGGCTGTGGTGGGGCCCGCGGCCTCTGCAGTTAGACAGCGGGTGCTTCCAGCTTTCTGGGGCCATGGGAGGTGGGGTAGCTTACCTGGGACCGTGAGTGGGGGGCCGCTACCTGGGCCTGGGGTGGGAGAGTAAGGGCCACTTCCTGGGCCTGGGGTGGGAGAGTGAGGGCCGCTTCCTGGGCCTGGGGTGGGAGAGTGAGGGCCGCTTCCTGGGCCTGGGGTGGGAGAGTGAGGGCCGCTTCCTGGGCCTGGGGGGGTGAGGGCCGCATCCTGGGCTTGGGGGGGTGAGGGCCGCATCCTGGGCCTGGGGGGGGCGGTGAGGGCTGTAGGGGAAGCGCCCACCTCAGGCCGCACCCTTGGCCTACTGGAACTTGGGTGGAGAGTGTGAGCTGGGGGCTGGAGACTCTGGTGCTGAACCAGTTGGAGACAGCCCCCCACGCACACCTCCTAGGCACCTTCCATGGTTTCCCAGCAGCCCCAAACCTAAGACTTGGGATGTTCTGAGGGTTCTACAGTGTAAAAATACTCCAGTATATAAATATAGATCTTTGCTCTAACACCAAGCTTGTGATCCAAGCCTGGGCCCTGCCAACACTAGCTGTGCTTCTGGTCCTGCTCAGTGGCTGTCCTCCAGTGTCACAGAGTGACCGCATGAGCCGGCACGAACTGCTCTCTGGGTTCCGTGGCCCCTGCCTCCCCCTGAACTCGGGCGCAAGGCTGGGCTAGCCACAGAAGGACGTTGTTTTCTATCTAGGGGTGTGAGGGGTGCTAATGAGCACTCAGTTAAAATGAGTCACAGAGACACGGGCAGGGTGTGCTCAGGGTGGGTCCTCACACAGACAGGCACCTGCCCCCCGCCCCCGCCATGTGGCAGGAACAGTGGCAGTTTCACATGGGGGGTGCAGGGGAGCGACACCCAGTGGACCTGTGTGGACAGGGACATGAAGACCCGGTGCTGTAAGGGGGCGGTGACTGGGGCTGGCAGGTGGAAGGAGACAGGAGATGCCACAGGGACCTTGGATGTGATTTTCCCTCCCAGACACAGACATTGCCGATGGTGGCTGAGATGCACCTCAGACCTTCATGAGAAATAAACGGGCTTCTTGAGCAATAGAAGGGGCCTGTCCCTTGTCTTGTCTCCTCTGGAGGGACTGCCTGCAGTGTGGGCAGTGGCTCTTGCTTCATGATGGCAGTGTCGCTGGGGCCAGCAGGACAGTGGTAGGAGGAGACAAGGCTGCCTGCTATCTTAGCCAAAATTCCTTCAGTGCTGCTTAAGGAGCTGGAGCTCGCCGCCGCTGGGCGCAGTCCCAGCCCAGGCAGTGGGTAGTGGACGGTGGAGCTGAGCGAGTCCCCCTGGCACGTCCTGTTGCTTCTTTAGGTAGTGAGTGTCTAGAACGTATGGCTCCATGCTCAGGGTGTCTCTCACACCAGCCCTCACTGCTCCATGTTCCACATGACCACCTCCACACCTGCACGGCGGTGTCTGGGCCCAGCACAGTGTCCACGTGGGCACAGACACCATCCGAGGGCCTTCAGTGATCTCCTTACTTTCATTTGTGCTGTTGGTTAGTGAGTTAACGCTGTCAGCCCTTGGGGGTCCTGGCAGGGTGTCTGGGTCAGTGTATCACGTGCTGTGTCCATCAGCCCACCTCACAGAACCTGTTGTTCACACACCTAGTGACCAGTTTGACAGGCCCCAGGAAGGCTCTGGAAATGCATGTGACTTGCTAGTAGAGGACAAAGAGGTTTAGGGGGAAGAGGTGAGTGCAACCCAACCCTTGGAGCCAAGAGAAGTTGGGGGGAGACTGCCCCCCAACAAGCCCGAAGGTCCCTCCCTGGATCTCCTTCCACCTAGCAAGCACAGGAATGTCACGAAGTGGGGGTGGGGGTGGGGTTAGTCCTCACGATGCGCCGGGCGGACGGTGGGGGGAGCTGCTACTTGCCGCCCTGCACCTTCTGGTCGTAGGTGCCCGCATGCTTGTAGCCGGACACATAGCCCGACTCGTCCAGCAGGTCCACACGGCCCGCCTTGCCCTTGCCTTTGCCCGAGGGGTCGAAGCGCTCTTTGTGGGAGCCTGTGAACCGGGTGGTGTCTGTGAGCCGAGACACGGTGGGTGATGAAACCGCTTTCTGTGGGGCATCAGGAAAGGATGTCAGCTCAGGGTACCGTCCCCATGCCTCCGCAGCCCCTCACTGACCGCCTGCCTGGGGTCGGGGTGGAGCTGATCCCCCATTCCAGGGAATTAACGAGTCTGCCCAATCCATGTGCAGTTCCAGAGACCCAGGCCACCGCTAGCACCTTCCCTGAGTGCTCCTACGTGCCTCACCCATCCTCAGGTGCTAGTGACCTCACCTGGCCCCCACCTGGCTACATCTGCTGGGCCTGATCCCTTCTGGAGGAACAGTTTAAGGCTGAGTGTTGGTGTTAGAGAGACCAAATGCCGGGCTGTGGTGACAGCAGTCTCCTGCAGCCAGGGGAAGGGGCTGGAGGCCGTGCCCTGGCCCGAGGACACCTGTGAGCCCACCCCAGGGCCCGCCCGCTCGCTGCGCTCACCGTTACCCCCGAGATGATGGGCGCTTTGCCCTCGATGAGACGGTGCATCTCCAGCACGGCCTCTTCGTCACTCTTGTCTTTGAACCGCTTCTTAGACAGCTCCTGGAGCGCCTCCTTGAACTGCTCAAAGGTGATGGTTCGGCAGGACTTTCCCCTGCGGAGCGCAGACGCGGGACGCTCAGGACCGCCCCTGCCCCGCCCCCTGCCCCGCCCTCCTTCCTCGGGACCGCGGACCCACAACGCTCAGGACCGCCCCTGCCGCGCCCTCCTTCCTCGGGACTGCGGACCCACGACGCTCAGGACCGCCCCTGCCCCGCCCTCCTTCCTCGGGACTGCGGACCCACGACGCTCAGGACCGCCCCCGGCCCCGCCCTCCTTCCTCGGGACCGCGAACCCACGACGCTCAGGACCGCCCCCGGCCCCGCCCTCCTTCCTCGGGACCGCGAACCCACGACGCTCAGGACCGACCCTGCCCCGCCCTCCTTCCTCGGGACCGCGAACCCACGGCGCTCAGGACCTCCCCTGCCCCGCCCTCCTTCCTCGGGACCGCGAACCCACGACGCTCAGGACCGCCCCCGGCCCGCCCCCGGCCCCGCCCTCCTTCCTCGGGACCGAGGACCCACGACGCTCAGGACCGCCCCCTGCCCCGCCCTCCTTCCTCGGGACCGCGGACCCACGGCGCTCAGGACCGCCCCTGCCCCGCC